TGAGGGCATGAATAACGGGAGGTTCCTCAGGCATTGGTATTTGATAAAGTGGTCCCACGTCCCCGGCCTTCTGCCCAAGATGAGTCGCAGAATTCATAGTGTGGGGTGGACCGGGGCAGGGAGCAGGCAGAGGAGACCCGGGGTGCCCCCTTGGACAGAACAAAGGTGCTCCATGGCAGCCCAGGCTGTGCCGATGGAGAGGTGTGTCTGGGATGCCAGAGCGCCTCTCCCTAGCCTTGAGCAGCGGCTCTCAGGGAGCCCCAGGGAGGCAGCGATGTGGAGGGGTAAGAAGGAGAATCTGGGAACCAATTCTGATGTTTCAATCAGCTTTCACAAAATTTATTGCTTTAATGCCCAAAGCACTCTGGGAGTTGTTTCTATTTGCTCTGTATAAATTTACCGGCTGGGAGGCAAGAAACAGATGGTGAAAATAGATAAACTCAGACAGCAGGATTTCGGTTCCCCAAAACCTGCCTCCCAAAAGTGATCATAAGGTCTTGTGCCCTGGCTTCTGCTCTTGAGGCAGATAATTAGGGATCCAGTTCCAGCTCAGCCATTTTCTACCTGGATGGCCCTGGGCAAGTCCTCCCACCACTTTGAGCTTTGTTCTCTTCAGCAGTTGCATGTGGGCTGTGTAAGGATCGAAGCTAATGTATGTACCTGGTTCTATGCCAGCCGCGTCATCAGTGATCAAGAAATGGTGACTGTTAATATTGGTCTGAGCAATGATAGTAAGCACTAACCCGGTGCTTACCCAGTATCAGGAGTCCTCTTCAGCAATTTACACACCACGATCTGTTAATTCCCTTGGCCCATTTCACAGATGAGGAAACTGATGTACAAAGTGGCTCTGTAGAGTGCAGGGAGGTTCGATATCTTGCTCGTGTGTGGCAGAGCTGGGATTTGAACCAGGCAGGCAGGCTCCAGAGTCCCTGGTTGGTCTACTGCCTCTGTCTACAGATGGAATTTCTATCAAGGCTAGAAATAAACCCTGTCCTTCCTTGCCCTAGTAAAACTTGTGACGTTGACACAGTTTGCCATGGAGTCCCAATCCTCTCTCCCTGGGCTGTCCCTTTCCTTTTGTCATGGTCCAGGGACCCAGAAGCCTTCAACTTTTCTGTGTTTCTGCCCCTTGGCTCCTGTGTGCCTGGTGTGGTTCCAGGTTCTCTGATTATATCTTCTCATCACATCCTCCTGGCAGCTCTATGAGGATGACTATCCTCTCCCAATTTACAGATGGGAAGTGGTGCTTTTTGGATCCCCCAACATGGCCTCCCTTCCTCAAGGGTCCTGTTTTCTGGGGGAGAATGTTCTGGGTAAGGGAACAGCATGGGTGGAAACCCTGAGGCATCGTGGTCCTTTGGGGAGTCTCTGCAAGTATCTATGGTTGGCACACGGGGAGAGGAGGACCTGGGGAGGGACGAACCTGGACTGTCCTCTCTTTGCTCACCCCTGTCAATCCTCACATCGCCCTCCCATCAGTCCCTGATACATCTGTCCCGGTCACAAAGCCTTCTCATCAGCCTCTGGGTCTGCATTTGGGGTGGGTTAGGGAGACCAGCAGTCCCATGAATGGGGGTGAGGGGCCTTGGCCTTATTTCTCAGCCCATCCTCTGGGCTGCAGTGGATGTCACTCAATCTCTAGTGACACTGTGTCCTCAGCTATAAAATAGGTGTAGGTCGAAGAGTAGATGTCCCTCTGTTTGGTGAAGAGGGCAGCTGAGATAATGGGGAGGGGCTTCTTGGGAGAGGGGCGTTGTGTCCAGGAGGAGGCTGGGCTGCCTTGAAGCAACATGGAGGTGCCTGGAGACATGCTGGGCAGGAGATGGGTTGTCTCTGAAGGTGTGGACGATGCTGGCAGAGAAACAGAAGCGGCTATGCTCCCTCCTCACTCCTAATCTTGGGGCAACAAACTGAGCGAGTCCAAATCAGCCTCCATCTGGCTAGCTCTCGTCTGAACTCACTTCTGTGGGTTTCCTGCCTGGCTCTTCAGCAAGAACCATGAGGTCTTATGATACGCTTATCTTCTGCTCTCTGAGCATCTTTGCCTCAGTGAAGCTGGGTCTCCTACTCTAGAGTTGTTGTCCATAGACCCAAATTTTCCAGGAGACATCCAATTGCCAGTCCTTTGCAGAAAAATCTACAGGTTCCATAATTTCCAAAATGTCCACAGCCGCCTCCATCTTCCCAGTCCTAAATGAACACAAGAGGCAGAGGCGGTGGCCCTGATCCTTGTGTCTTGGCTGGGTGAGGCCTGTGTCTCTGATTCAGAGGGACCCTGTGTCAGTGACTCTGTGTCCTAGAATTTCCAAGAAAGTCTTGATTTCAAACAGCCTGCTGTGTTGGGAGAACACATGTCAGGCCAGTGCCAGGCGAATGTGTCCTGATTTTTGTTTCAGAAAATATGGTCAGCATAACTGGGGAGAGAGAAATTGAAAAGGACAGTAATTGGAGCCTGGTCCTGGGCACGAGGTGGAAGCCACAGAGGCTCTGTTTCAGTTTGCTTAAGCAACTGTAGCTATCACAGCCTATCAGGGTGGAGGGGCCGTCAACGTCAAGGTCGTCTGGTTCAGCCTCAGTCTTTCCATAAACATGTCCCAGCAGCTTTGAGCACTGGCTCAAAGTCAGACAGAGGCAGGCTTGAATCCCAGCTGTGCCCCTTCCTGACCGTGACCTTGGGCAAGATGCTTAACTTCAATCTCCACAGCTTGTAAACCTGGAAGAAGAATGTCACCTATGCCGCAGGGCTGTTCTTAGGGTTAAACACACAAAGGAATGGAAATTGATTAGCCCAGCACCTGGCTCAACAGTGGTTACTGTCCTCTTCCTCCTCCTCACCGTGTGGCCAGCACTGTGCGGGATGTGGGGACCCCAGAGTGAACAAGATGAAGTCCTGGTCTGTGGTAGACACTGCGCACGGCCTGCTCTTTATCCGATCTGTGTCCCGCCCTCCATCTCTCCTCCTCCTTCCCCCTCCCTCCTTCCCTCCCTACCTTCTTTCCATGACGAACCCTGGTTTATTCAAGGTGGCAAAGTATCCTTCTAAAAACTACCATATCCCGATTGGTTTTTTGGCTAATAGAGGTGGTCATGTGATATTGTTTGGGCCAAAGAGCTGTAGATAGAAGTCATTGGATGGGGTCTAGCAAGACTCTTTAAAATGAGATGATGCTAGAGGTGGAGTAGCCACCTATGACGATGATGGGACAAGCATGATGACAAAAGCCACATGCTAAAGCAGAGCAGGAAGAGAGAGAAGAAATTGGGTCCTTAACAGCAGAGTCAGCAAAGTAGGACTCATACGTCAAACCCAGACTGCTATCTGTTTTTGTCAATAAAGCTTTATTGAAACACAGCCATGTCCATTCCTTTATGTATTATCTGAGGCTGCTTTCACATTACAATGGCAGAGTGGAGTAGTTGTGACTGAGACTGTGCAGCCTGCAAAGCCTAAACTATTTATGGTCTGACCTTTTCAGAAAAAGTTTGCCAACCTCTGCTTAATGGGATCAGTGTGTCTTGTGCCAGCTCTGGATTGCTTATCTCTGAGTGACTTAGTGATGGCAATGTAAATCTTTGCAAAATCATTTCATTTGGTGGGTGTTTTGCTTTCTGACTGTCCAGTGCAATAGTAAAACATGCACTGCCCTACAACAGGATTGCTTCCAGTTCTGCCAAGATGTTGCAAGCTTCTGCTGCAAGACTCCGGGGAGAGTGTATCTGTAAGGAGTGATAGGTTGCAAGCAAAAGAAATCCCCTCTAATTGATCAAAGCAGAAGGGAAATGTTTGGACAGACAAGGAAAGGTTTGAGAACTGGTCTGAAAAATGGCAGGTACTAGGCAGTTCGAGGAGTAAGAGGAATCAGTCTCTCCCTGAGGCTGGAGTTAGAATGAATGCTGGAGCTCTTGGCTATGGGAGAGCAGCACCTCCACTGACAGTCCCTTCAGACTTCCACGGGAGAGAGGTTCTTTCTGAAAAGGGGAATCAGGGTGCTATTGGAGTGTCAAAACAGGGAGGGTCCAGCACAGAGAGCAAAATCCTACCTCCAAAATAACCCAGCCATCACTATGCAGAGCTTGTTGGTCTTGCCCCCCCCAACCCCCAAATCAATTTTTCCCTCCTTTTCCATGGTGATAGAAACCTCCAACTTTTTGCCAAGTTGCGTGGCCACCCACAATGAGTTTCCTATGCAGCCAGGAGGCCATATGCCCATGTTCTTGTCATTGAGATGAGAGCAAAAGTGATGGACGCAACTTCTGGGATGTGAACTTAAAGGCCGTGCCCTTCCGCCTTCCTGCTTCTGGGAATATGGATGTGATGTTTCTCAGCCTTGGACCGTGTGGGTGAGGGCATCAACCTAGGGGAGAAGGCGCATCAAGGAGCCTGGATCCCTAACATCATGGTACCTTCAAACCAGTCCTGGACTTCTCACCTCCAGAAGGCATTTACCATGACAGAAAAGACACTTCTCTCTTGCTTAAGCCACTGTTAGTTCTGATCTGTTGTTCCTAACTGATACAATCATCACTTCCAGAAAGCAATTACTCATACTGAGCTGAGCGCTGAGTTCCGGTAGCTTCCGCCCAGTACATCTCCCCTCGGGACTGTGCACAACTTTTCTAAGTTCTCTTCCAAAGACAGTTCATCAACTATTTCCCAACAACCCCATCCAATCCGCACATCACCACTGTCTTTTCAGCTCTAGTTTCTCCTCCGTTCATGTCAGTCTCCTTTGGAAGTGCTCTGCTCTGTCTTCGTCCTCCATAGGCCTCACACCACATACACCCAGACCGAGCAAAGTGGCCATAGGAAGACTGTCACCTACTCCATTTCAGATTCTCCACTTCACAGTTTCTCAACCGGCTTTTATAAATGGCCAATGAATCAATATGCACCCTGAACTCTGTCATTTTAATCTTTTTCTGTAGCCCTGATAAAACACATAACATTGTATTAGTTTCCTATGGATGCTGGAACAAATTACTACAAATGCAGTGGCTTAAAACAACACACATTTATTATCTTACAGTTCTGGACGTCCAAAGTCTGAAACAGGTCTCGCCGGGCTACAGTCAAGGTGACAGCAGGCTTGCATTCTTTCCTGGAGGCTCCAGGGGAAAATCTATTCCTCTCCCCTTCCAGCTTGGCCACATTCCTTGCCGCCCACATTCCTTGGCTCGTGGTCCTCTTCTTCCATTTTGAAAGCCAGCAACGTTGGGCCAAGTCTTTTCATGCTGCCATCTCTCTGGTTCTGACTCTTCTTCTGCCTCACTCTTCCACTTTGAAGGACCCTTGTGGTTCCATAAGGAGCAAATCCAGGATGATTTCCCGATTTTAAGGTCAGCTGATTAGCCAGCTTGATTCCGTCTGCAGCCTTCATTTTCTTTGCCACGTAGCATAACATATTGACAGATTCCAAGGACATCTTTGGGGGGCCATTATTTTGTCTACTATGCGTATTGATGGTGGTGACTATGACTACCACTTATTGCGTCTTTCTCTGGGCCAGGCACTGAGCTAAGCGTTTTACACACAGTATCTTATTTAATCCCACAGCCCCGTGGTAGGCAGAATTCTAAGATGGCCCCCCAGAGTTCTGCCCGCTGGTATACACATCCTATGTAATTCCTTCCTCTTGAGAGTGGACAGGACCTGTGAATATGATAGAGTGCCATTCCTGTGATGAGGTTACATAATAAGACAAAGGTGGGGGTTTGTTAATGTCATGATTAGGTTATATAAGACTTCATTTCAGCTGACAGGGAAAGAGATTCTCTTGCTGGCCTTAAAGAGTGAACTGCCATGTTGCGAACGGCCAGTGGAGGTGGCCACATGGTGAGGAGCTGGGAGCACCCTCTAGGAGCCAAAAGCAGTCCCATCCAACAGCCAGCAAGAAAACGGGGACCTGAATCACACAGCTGCTGGGAGCTGAATTCTGCCAGCACCTGAATGAAGTTGGAAGCACATTCTTCCCCCGAGCGTCCAGATGAGAACGCAGACTGGCCAACACCTTGACTTCAGCCTTGCGAATCCCTGAGCAGAGGACCTCACCTGGATTCTACCTATAGAAACGGTGAGATAAGGAATGGGTTTAGGTTGCTGTCAGTGGTAATTGGTTATGAAGCAATATAAAACAAACACATCTCAATTTGAGAGAATTGAAGCTCAGAGAATTGAAGAGACCTGCCAAGGTCAGAGAGCTAATACGTGGCTGAGCTGGTATTCAAACTATGGTCCATCTCCTGACCTGAATTTCTATCCGCTACTGCTTCCCAACTGATGAGCATGAACAATAGATTTGGTGTTATTTTTTACTGTTAGTTCCTTATTTGTGTATGATAGAAAGAATTTCTCTTGTGGCTTTTGGAAATGAAATTATGACTTTCCCTCTTATCTCTGCAGTGAGATCTCTCACCTCTTCTGCACCATTTGGGCATTTCTGAGCTTCTGCTGGGCTTCCCATTGTAAAGTGATGCTCTGTTTTTGAACACCATGGCACCAAAATTTAATTTCTAAACCAAGCTGGATGTGTGGCCAGATTTAAGGTAGAAATTTCATTGTTTCAACCAAACTTCAAATTGAGGAAAGTTACAAAGCAGTGCCAGGACTCACCAAGTGAGTCCACTTCGTGAGCAAGCCAATGTCTTGATCTAGAAGAGAGAAATATTGATATTTCACATATGTACATGACAGATGTGGGTCCTGTCGTAGGAGCCAAGCACAAATCAGTTGGAAAATGTTACTGAATTTTTAGTAGCTTTTCGTCTTTAGGAATTTTCTCTACCACAGATGTAAAAACCAGAACTGCCATGAACCACTTCTACATTCAAAAGGGGCTCTCCTGCTTGAAAGCTGGGAGCCCCTCCTGCTTAGGGGGTCATGTAAGCTCACTTCTGCCCCCACAGTCTGTAGCTGCTCCAAGAAGTACAAACATTCTCGTTACCTGGGCTCTTTGCTCTGTGCCATGAGCCTTTTCTCTTTGTAGGATGCTCCCATAAGCCTTTATGATACCAACAGCATCTCACAGTTTTCTAGAAGGGAGGTCAAATGAAGTTACTGGGTCATCCTGAGCGATATATGCTTTACATGTTGGGGTGATTAAGAAGCTTGTGGCAGAGCAAAACTCCTTAGCTGCTGACTGTTTAGCCCTGACAGACAATTAACCTGTCCTTGGGGGATGGTGACACTACAGCTAAGGTTCCTTGCTGGCTGGGTGGCCAGTCCTTGGTTAGAGAATGCCAGAATGCTTAGCAGAGAAATGGGCTAACACCACCCCAGGCAGGCAGCTCCTTCCAGTTTCTTAAATTTATCGAGGAAGAAGGCAGGAAGGGTGGATTCTCATCGTGGCTTTGACACCCGATAGTTGTGTGGCTTTGGGCAAGTCATTCTGCCCATGAGCTCCACGTTCTGGTGTACAATGTGGGTAATATCTTCCTCACAGCTCTGTGGGGAGGATCTTGTGGCACTCACAGGCCTGTATCAGTTTTCTGTTACTGCATAACAAATCACCATACACACAGTGGCTTAAAAAACAGATCTCTTACCTCAGTTTCTGTGGGTCAGGAGTCTGGGCACAGACTGGGTCCTCTGCGTAGGGTCTCACAAGGCTGCAATCAAGGTGTCGGTCGGGGCTCCACCTCATCTGAGGCTCGTCTGGGGAAGGATCACTTTTGTTAGCAGGATTCCGTTCCTTACAGCTTTAGGATGGAAGGCTTCTGTGTCTTGCTGGCTGTCAGCTGGAGTCCATCCTCAGCTCCTAGAGGCCGTCCTCAGTTCCTTGCCACATCACCTTCCAACAAAGGCAGCCACAACATGGCAGCTTGCTTCTTCAAAGCCAGCAAGAGAGTGAGAGATGCCAGCAAGGCAAGTGTTACAATCTCGTGTGATATAATCATGTCATCACGTACACACAATCACTGTCACATTTGTCAGGTTCTACTGGTTAGAAGCAAGTCACAGGACCCACATTCAAGGGGTGGGGATCACACAAGGATGTGAACACCAGGAGGCAAAATCATGTAGGCCTCCTTAAGAGTCTGTCTGCCACAGCCCCCAAACTCCTTCAAACCAGGAAGTTTGTTCAAACACTGACCACCATTTCTTCCTGCTGAAGTCAAAGCCTGACACTTCTGATCATCGGGCCCTCCAGGGACACAGTCAGTAGTTGCCATAGCCCATTAATTTGCTCATTCACTCACTCAGCAACCAGGCAGAGAGTAGGACACTGACCTTTAGTCCCTTTCTCCTCACCTTCTCTTTCCTAAACTAATGTCAGTTAGAGTTGAGGGGCCTTAGGTCCAAGAATTTGGGGACAACATGAGAAAATGTATCTTTTGGAAATAGAAACTAGAATAAAATATATGCAGCTGTCCATCTTGAGAACAGCCTACCATCAGATGTAAGCTGAGGTTTGGGACAACATTAGAATCTTGAAGGAAGATAAAATCTAAAATATGGTTATTGTAAGATAAACTGTAATTGATCTCACATTAATTAAACAGACTCAAATGAAAAGAATTTTTTGGAAATTATTAAAGATTTCTTGTGGTAGATGATCTTATTGTTCCCAGTTATTTGCAGCTTGCCTATAAGAGGACTGTACATCTCTTCCTGTTGCTGTGGGTTCATTGTGCCCCCTTTGGGAGGAGTGTATCTTCTGGCTCCACTGTGGTTGGGCATTGCCACGTGACTTTCTTTGGCCAATGGAATATGATTAGGAAGTGGTGTACACCATATCTGACTGGAAGTTTTAAATGCCATTGTGACAGGGCCTGCCTGGTGGCATAGTGGTTAAGTTCGTGTGCTCTGCTGCAGCAGCCCGGGGTTCGCAGGTTCAGATCCCAGGCACGGACCCACACGCTGCTCATCAAACCATCCTGTGGCGGCGTTCCATATACAAAAGAGAGGAAGATTGGCACAGATATTCATTCAGCGACTACCTTCTTCAAGCAAAAGGACGGAGATTGGCAACAGATGTTAGCTCAGGGCCAATCTTCCTCACCAAAATAAATAAATAAATAAATAAATGCCATTGTGACTTTCCCTCTGCCACAAGAATGGCATGTTCCAGATGGAGGCTGCTCCTTCAGCGTGGGCCCTGGAATAAAGACATGTGGAGCAGAGCCACACCTGCAGGTACATAAAATGTGAATGAGAAGTAAACCTTGTCACTTTAAACCACTGAAATTTGGGGTTGTTTAATACCACACATAACTTGGTGAAAAGTGACAAAACACAGCACTGAACCAGTCATGCTTTCTGCATACGTAAGAGGGTGCTAAATGGCGCCGTCCCGTTGAGTTTCTGCTGAGACCCCAAAGCAGAGAGGAGGGAAGACAGAAGTTTCAACTGATGAGAGATTGAAGTTTTGATTTAGATTGTACTGGATTTTCTAACAATTGAAGTGAGACTGTTATGCTTTCTAAAGGGGACAAGAAAAGCTGTCATCCAGGCTTGGAGAAGTCAGACCCAGGAGACTGTGACTGAAGGCAACAGTGGTGATGGAAATGGAGCCCTTCCTGAAGGTTCCCTGTCAAAGTCGGCCCAGTCCTTAAACCTGCCCCTTAATTTTATATGGATCTCCCTCTTCACAGAGAACACTTGAGGAGCTGTCAAGGCAGCTGTGCCACCCAATGAACAGGTACCTGGTTCTAGAGAGAAGCACTAACTTTCTTAGAATAGGAATTTGGGGATAGAAAGATTCTCGAAGCCATCAAATCTGACCCCTTTATTTTACAGGCGAGGAAATCGGGATCCAAAGAGTAGAGGCCACCAATTTACTTTTCTCTATGCTCTGCTCACTCAGAGGTTGGGGTTTGATTTCCTGGGGAGAGATGACCACACCAGGTACCCTGCCATGTAAAGGGCACACTGGCATTAGCCCTTTTAGCCCTCCTGTGAGTTAGCGATTATGACCTGGCTCCCTAGGACCCGTGTGCCCCTGAGTGGACTGACAAAATCAAGGTGTGAACCTGACTGCACCCTAAGCTTGCGGCTCCCTCGGGAAGCAGCCTGCAACACACCAGCAGGAATGGCTCATGGGCCTTCAGTCCATTTCCAAGTTCATAATCCATATGCTCCATCACGTCTGATCTTCCAGAGTCTCTGTTTTACTTCCCTTGAATGCTTGGTCTGTTCCCCGCGGGATGCTGGAGTGGGAGAGGCACTGCTGATCTCCAGCCCAGCCTAGGAGGGTCTTCTGGAGGGCCCTGCCCAGGTCTCATATTGCAGAGAGACATCACTTCTGAGGGTCAGGAGGGTCTGGTGGAAGATTTCACTCATCGCACACAGGCCCATTCACCCTCCGAAATCGCTCAGCAGTCTCCCTCCAGCCAGTGCTGGAGTCACAGCCTTCTCCCCTATGCCAGCACTTCAGTTTAGCTGGCTTGCCTGGGGGCTCCTCAAGGACAGGACAATCTCACCATCCGTCTCACCAGGACTGAGAATTAGAATGTCAGAGGTAGCAGAACCTTTTGAAGAGCATGTTCTCAATGGCCAGATTTGACTTTTAACTGCTGAAGGTGTAAGCATTTTGTGGGTAAATTGACGGTTGTCAGCGAAGATAATATATGGAGATTGTTGCCTTTGGTAACTTCGGTTTCTGGCTCTGTGTTGACCTAGGCTGTGGCTCCACCCTTTGGGGTGGGCTGCTTTGCACCTGTACGTGATTTAGGTCCTGGGCTAAGCCCCAAGGGGGCAGGCCTGGGCAGGTTATGGTGCGGGCCCCACAGCAGCCCTCCTGAACGTAGACCAGTGCCCAGCTCGGTAACCCCCAAGCTGGGGAGTGACAGCAGAACGGAAAACCCATCTGAAGCAAGGCAGCCCGGTCTTTCACCTACAGTGGGGGCAGGACTTGTTCTTTCCGGACTCAGGGGCATTAACGATAATTAAGGGACCCAACCCAGCTGACTTCCTCTGACTTTTGGTTCCTCTGTTTAGACAGGCTGTGTTTGTAACTTCAAATATATCAAGAGAATCGAACCTGAAAGATAGGCAATTTGGCCAGGTTTCAAACCCACTTAAAGCTCCAGCTCTAAATTTAGACGTGATCTGGAAACTTGAGTTTCAAGTTCCCCCTGTCTTGGGCAAAGCCTGAATTTCAAGCCACTGAACATTTTAATTTATCCGTTCTCATCTTCTTGATTTCCCCAAACTTCTTCCTCTGTTTTCTAAACTCATTGTTCGAGTGGTTGTATCTTTCGTTTGGCTCTTGCCCTGACTTCTCTCACATTAGTGTCTGTTACCAGTACTTGAGCCTTATACTGTGCATCACTCTACAGTCTTGGCTCCTCAGCTGGACTGTAGACCCATTGTGGCCAGGGGCTCTCCTCGGGTCTCTTTCTTTCCTCTCTATCAAAACTTGCCCAGGGTCCAGCATGTCACGAGTCACAATTAAGGCTTGAGGGTTGCTCAGTCGGAAAGCTAGAAACTGGGAGAAGGTGCGGCTCCAACAAGATTTCCAGAGCCTTGGCTTTCTGATTTGATTGGTTATTTTTTTATTTTATTTTTTTGAGGAAGATTAGCCCTGGGCTAACATCCACTGCCAATCCTCCTCTTTTTTGCTAAGGAAGACTGGCCCTGAGCTAACATCCGTGCCCATCTTCCTCTACTTTATATGTGGGATGCCCTACCACAGCATGGCGTGCCAAGAAGTGCCATGTCCACACCCGGGATCCGAACCGGTGAATCCCAGGCCGCCAAAGCAGAACGTGCGCACTTAACTGCTGTGCCACTGGGCTGGCCCCTTGATTGGTTATTCATTGAAAGTAAACCAGTAAATAAGCAACGTAAACCTCTGGAGAACAGTGGTTTGAATTGAGAAGAGGTTTACACAATTTAAGAGAAGTTTGATGAAAATCAAGCCATGGTGCTGGTCAAAATTCAATCGGTTCAGAATAGTTTTCCCTCGCTCCTGCCATGTTGCTACTGCCTGACTTGTTTGTCTTGATTTGTGGGGGGAATAAAGGAGGAAAAGATTAGAATTTGGCACGTGAGGCAGAACGAGAGTTTAGCTCATACGCATCATTTTACACTTTCACTCTTTTTTTGGAGAAAGAGAGGGTATTAGCTTCCTGGGGCTGCTGTAACAAAGCGACACAAACTGGGTAGTTTTGGCCACAGAGATTTATTGTCTCATTGTTCTAGAGGCTGGATCAAGGCGTTGGCAGGGTTGGCTCGTTCTGCGGGCTGTGAGGGCAGATCTGTTCCAGGCCTCTCTCCTAGCTTCTGGTGGTTTGCTGGCCATCTTTGGTGTTTCCTGGCTTGCAGAGCTCTGCCTTCGTCTGCACATGCTGTTCTCCGCGTGTGTGTGTGTCTGCATCCAAAGTTCCCCTTTTTATAAGGACACCAGTCATATTGGAGTAGAGGCCACCCTGGCCTCCTATGATCTCATCTTAAATAATAACATCCGCGGGAACCCTATTTCCAAATAAAGTCCCATTCTGAGGCACTAAGGATTAGGACTTCACGTATAAATTTTTGAGGGGAGGGCAGCATAATTCCACCCATAACAGATAACATAGTCTTCTTGTTTGAATTTATCATTCTCCAAATCAAGATGTAGCAAGTTGATTCAGTCTGTACCACACCTATGAATTTGAATGATACACTTCTGGAAGAAGCTAAAAATGAGTTCCTTTCTTTCCCCCTCTATCCATCCATCCATCCATCCTTCCATCTCTTGTTATACGCACACACACACACACACACACACACACATACACACACACTTTATATAGCTGGGACTTAGGGAGTTCCTAATTAGAAGTCCTTGCCATGCCAGGGACATTACTTGGAGTCCTATTTCCATGTGTCCTATAAGCCACCTCAGAGGAAGAGCTGCAAGGACTCCAAAGAAAGGCCTGGCTTCAGAACCCAGCCCTGCACTTACTGGCTCTGTCACCTCAGTGACGTCTTTTTCTTGGAA